AAGCCCTAAGTCCTAAACCCTAAGCCATTCTAATCTCAAGCAGGCCCTATATGAAGCCCATACCTCTGAATCTCCCGAAACCTTCAAGCCCAAGTAGGAGCCCTAGGGTTTAGGGTTTAGGGTTTAGGGTTTAGGAATGCACCTTAGATCATCGTAGGGTTCCCTCGCATGATTTAAGGGTTTGTCCCTTGTTAAGGTATTGGGCCCTAAACCCTAAACCCTAAACCCCTAAACCTCTACATAAACCCCTGAATCCCTAAACCCCTAAACCACTAAACCACCCCCTAAACCACTAAACCCAAAACCCTAAACCTCGAAACCCCTAAACCTCCAAACCCTAAACCACGAAACCCTAAACCACTAAACCACTATAAACCCTAGACCCTAAACCCTAAGTCCTAAGCCCTAAACCTTAAACCCTAAACCCTAAACCCTCAACCTCTTCAAAACCTGCAGAAGGCTCTTGTGGGCCTGGCGGTCGGTGGCTTGGCCGACCGGTCTCTGGCGCAGGGGACGCCGGTGGCCAGCGTCCGCAAAGGTCTGCAGACAGTGGCCTGGGCGGCGGTTTAGGGTTTTAGGGTTTTAGGGTTTTAGGGTTTAGGGTTTAGGGTTTAGGGTTTAGGGTTTAGGGTTTAGGGTTAGGGCTCTTGGGTTCACTTACGGGGTTCAGGTCTTGGGGTTCACTTGGGGTCGAGGGCTTTAGGGTCACTTAGGGTTGAGCTTGTTTCGACGATGGCGCCAGGTTGCCTCGTTTCAGGGTCACGGCGGGCGCGGGGGGGGAGGGGGGGGGGGATGGTGCAGGGTTGGGCGGAATGTGGTCAAGCCCTAAACCCTAGACTGCGTCTTCTCGGCAATTGCCAGACACTGGCATCTTCACAAGTGCACTGGACCTACACTGTCAGCACATGGCCCTGGCCCTGGACTCAAGCTTGGAAGGGTTTAGGGCTTAGTAGGTAGTATGTCGCACATGTGGGTCCCCAACAGGGCAAAACAACTAGAACAACCGCGTAGTGCCCTAGTTCGTTGGGTGAAGCACCTGTGTTCTTAGGTGGGCATGCTTGTTCCGGCCGCCGCTTTGCTTTTGGCCGCGTCTCCGGTCACTGGTGGCTTGACGCCAATTTCAAAGGGATTCTTGAACCCTAGGGTTTTAGGGGTTTAGGGTTTAGGGTTTAAGCCCTAAACCCTAAACCCTAAACCCTAAACCCTAAAACCTAAACCCTAAACCCTAAACCACGGCTGTGTATTCCGGGTGGCGCAGCACCTTCGCCCTGAGCCTCAGCCCAGCGCACCGAGGACCTTGGACTTGTGGACACGAGTACTAGAGGGGCCTTAGTGATCAGGGTTGAGGGTTTCGGGTTAGGGCTTAAGTGTTTTCGGGGGGTTATTATTATAGTATAACTATATAGGGACCCTAAGTGAATACTCGTATTTTAATGATTCCGACCCCCTATATTCGCCTTTGCTAGGTCGGCCCTTCGGGATACGTATTCTAAAATGATTCTTCCCTTTCTGGGTGTAAGAGGATCATGTTTCGAACAAATCCTCCTTATGGGGTGCAAGAGGATCTTATTTGGGAATATTTTTCCTTGTTGAGTGCAAGAGGATCCTTTTTTCGGAATATTTTTCAGAGGGTTGTTCGACCCAAAACCCAAGACCCAAAACCCAAAACCCTAAACCCTAAACCCCAAACCCTCAACCCTAAACCCTAAACCCTAAACCCTACGTGCCATCCTAGTGTAGGCGGCTCGGCGGCAGTGGGCAGCGCGCTGATCGACGTGGGCCTGGCGGCCAACGCGCTGACGCTCGGAGCGGCCCCTGTGACAGCAGCCCTAAACCCTAAACCCTAAACCCTAAACCCTAAACCCTAAACCCTAAACCCTAAACCCTAAACCCTAAACCCTAAACCCTAAACCCTAAACCCTAATTAAACCCTAAACCCTAAAGCCTAATTGAACCCTAAACTCTTGGATTTCGTTGCAGCCGAGGTCAGCGTCAACCACCTGGACGTCGCGCCGCGCCATGCTGGGGCGATCTTTGGCTTAGGCAGGGCTTTGCCTTTTACGGTTTGGGGTTTAGGGTTTAGGGTTTAGGGTTTAGGATTATGGCCATTGTTGTCAACAGTATGTTAGCTTGTGTTTGTTTCTCCGTAGACTGCATCTTCCTGAAGTTAAACAACACATCTGGGAGTTGGCTGGTTGTGGCTTTCGTGGAGTTTCGGGTTTAGGAGTCATCCGAGTTTAGGGTTTAGGCTCCTATATAGTTATACTACAATAACTAATACCCCCCGAAAAAAACATATACCAACTAAGACACCAATATTGCATGGTTAGTTCTGGCTTCGTTGAGCGTGGTCATTCTTCTTTGGAAATTCAGTGAGTTTGCATGTTACATGTTGGGTGAGCTTTCAAGCATTCCGGGGGGCTAGTCAGAATCGTCAGAATCCTAACTCAGACAATAGTCCAGGTATAGCATGCTATACGAACATGGGGACAGGGATGTCGTGTTTCTGTCGTCCATGCTTTTTCCTACTGGCTCTGAGGGAGCGGTGCCCTACTTGGAGGTTCATGGTACTTAGTAACTAATTATAACTGTACTTATAACTGTACTGTACTTATAACTGTACTTATAACCATTTTAGGGCACTTAAGGGGCTTATAAGTGGGCTGTAAGTACAGTTATAATGAGTTACTAAGTACCATGAACCTCCAAGTATAGAATCCCTTAACGCCAGACTTTTTACTGGACACGGCCTTGTGAGGAGCAGCATGCGTTGGGGGAGTACTGGTCTTGCCGAAGCTTCATCCTGGGATCTTGGTGAGACACTGTGACGATCAGACATAAGCAGAAATCGTCATGTGGGTCCTGGACGCCAGATGCTTTAGTGGAAACGGCCTTGTGAGGAGCATGACCAGGAATAAAGTTTCGTCGCTCTTGACAAGACAAAGTTGACGGAGGACAGCGGAGTACTGCATCATGGTTTTGTCCTAACCTGGCCAGCGGAGGAATTAATCCACTAGAATAAATTTATATTTCATTGAGAGGAGGGCCCGGCGCTCTTGGAGCGCAGGAGTCTTGGAGGCGTCTGACACTTCCGTCCCTCGATTCGATAGATCAAAATGCTGCAAGTAAGAGAACCCCAAGCCCTAAGCCCTAAACCCGAAACCTTAAAAACCCTAAACCCGAAAATCCCTAAACCCTAAACCCTAATCCCTAAACCCTAAACCCTAAACCCTAAACCCGCAGGCAACACCTTTGCCACCTTTGCGGGGCTGGTCGCCACGCCACTCACAGGCTCCACGGAAGGGAGGCTTTGTTGGGTGGGTTAAGGGTTTAGGGTTTAGGGTTTAGGGCTTAGGGTTTAGGGTGTAGGGTTTAGGGTTTAGGGTTTAGGTTTTAGGGTTTAGGGTTTAGGGCTTAGGTTTTAGGGTTTAGGGCTTAGGGTTTAGGGTTTAGGGTTTAGGGTTTAGGGTTCAGGGCTCGCAATAGGGAACTCTCTCTTATTTACTACCTTGTATACACTATAACACCCAAGAGCCCATACATGAGAGCCCTCTACAACAAGAGGGAAGGGCCCATATGGGTGGTTGTCAAATCATGATCTACCCCAAATAAGAGGGGCCGCCTTGTAATAAGGACCTCAAGAAGGAGCCTTATTTAGAGAAATCGCCATATGTAACTGCCCTGAGAGTGCTTGGAGGCTTCACTCGTAGGCTTTCTGAAGACTGTAGAGCGTTTTGTTCGGGAACCCAGCGAACTTGGAACCCCAAAACCCCCGAAACCCTAAACCCTAAACCCTAAACCCTCAACCCTCAACCCTCAACCCTCAACCCTCAACCCTCAACCCTCAACCCTCAACCCTAAACCCTAAACCCTAAACCCTAAATCCTAAACCATCCCGAGGTGCTGTCCTAGACGCGACGGGATCCTGGGAGATCGTCTTCGCGATCATCACCTTCCACTATGTGCCCTGTGGGTTTGGGGTTTAGGGTTTAGGGTCAGGGTTTAGGGTTTAGGGTTTGGGGTTTAGGGTTTAGGGTTTGGGGTTTAGGGTTTAGGGTCAGGGTTTAGGGTTTAGGGTTTGGGGTTTAGGGTTTAGGGGTTTAGGGTTTAGGGTTTGGGGTTTAGGGTTTAGGGTCAGGGTTTAGGGTTTAGGGTTTGGGGTTTAGGGTTTAGGGTTTAGGGTTTAGGGTTTGGGGTTTAGGGATGCCACCTCGAGGCATGACGATGCCTGGCTGCTGCTGGATATGTAGCCAGGTTTACGGTTCAGGCCTATCAACATGTGCAGCAGAGTTTCATATTCCTGTTTTTGGTGGGTGTATATAAGGTTCCTTGTTGCTGTATTGGCGAGTGTATCTGCTGGGTGTCCTTTTGGGGGTACAAGATATATATACATATATATATATATACCCTGCTTCATGTGCTGGCGTGGTTGCGGGTGGGATGAGGTTCTTGGTGTTTCGCCTCTCTGGGGTATACTGAGTGTAGGGTTTAGGGTCTAGGAGCCTGCAACTGGAAGCTTTCTCAGCGCCAGGTTCAAGACCTTCATTCCTCACAGACACACACAGCTACGCCCCTCAACCCCCCTAAACCCTAAACCCTAAACCCTAAACCCTAAACCCTAAACCCTAAACCCTAAACCCTAAACCCTGAACCCTGAACCCTAAACCCTAAACCCTGAACCCTGAACCCTAAACCCTAAACCCTAAACCCTGTTGCCCCACCAACCTTGTGTGAAGGTGCTGGGGGCGGCCGTATTCGCCCTTTTCGCCGGGGACCAACCCCTCGAAAAAGACGGCCAAGTGAGCTGACAGGGTCGGGTTTAGTTGCCGAGGCGTTTGGCTGCCAAAGCGCGGCGATCTGCTTGGCTTCACCGAGCAAAGCGCCGTGCGGAGGAAGAGCTGAAAAGAGCGGCCAAGCAGCTCAGCTCCACGACACTCCCCCGGAACCATAACCTCCTTAAGCACCTCTATACACCATGAACCCGAACAAGCCCGACACAGGTGAACGGCTACACTGATAGCGACGGTTGGCGCTACGCGCGGAACTTCGGGCGTGGATCCCAGTGGAGGTGCGGCCGCCTGGGGTTGCGCCCGGGCTTGCGGGGGTCGACGATGACAGGGAAGTCGCAGAAGGGGGTTTGGAGGTCAGATCGAAGTAGAAAGGGTTCCCGATCTTTTCGGAAGGCTGTTTGAGTGTTGTGCTTGTGTCATGATGCTTTTCCCGATGGCCGTTTCGGGTGGTGTGGGTTCCTGCAAAGGTGTACCACGTGTGCTGGTGCGTGTGAAGGGTTCGATGTATGGCGGTGTTTCCACGTGACTCATACCAAGGACAGTACGACCGAAGAAGTAAACCAGGGAAAGGGTCCATGTACCCATATAGTCTATACTTGGGCCTTAAAGGGGCTCCTCTTTAGCAGCTTTAGGGCCCAAATATATAGTACATAGGCACATGGCCCTTAGGGATTGTGGACCCTAGAGTCCATACCTTGTAGTGCCTTCTTCCCGAAACCCGACAACGTTCATGGTCGAGCTGCCGCACCGGGGTTTAGGGTTTAGGGTTTGGGGTTTGGGGTTTAGGGTTTAGGATTAAGGCGGCTATGCAGCCTCTGTGCGTCTTTACCAGAGGCTAGTCTGGAGTTTAACGCATCGGTCCCGGCAGTTTGAGACCTTAACCCTGCAACACTTGTCACGAGGGCCCACGTTTTTAGCCTTCGGACTAGACCTTGAATCTTTGAAGCAAGCGGGGTTTGGTTTTTTTTCTGAGAGACTGGCAGGAATGCCTTCCAGCCGCAGATGTTCGTGCGCAGACGGTGCTATGCCGGGGCGCTCGGCGCTCACGCTTTGGCTCCGAAGCCCTGGGGGTCTAGGGTTTTTTCAGCCCTACAAACCCTAAACCCTAAACCCTAAACCCTAAACCCGAAACCCTAAACCCTAAACCCTAAACCCCCACAGTAACCCCCTTCGGGCTCCGAGGAGGTTATCCCCCAAAGTATTGGTTTGCCTTGCAGGTTTAGTGTTCAGGAACCGTGCGGGAAGAATGGTCCTTGGTTCTTGAGGTTCCGCGACCCTATGCAGGAAGCGCTCAACCCTGAACCCTAAACCCTAGACCCTGAACCCTGAACCCTGAACCCTGAACCCTAAACCCTAAACCCTCAACCTCAAGTACATTCCGGCTGCAGCCATAGAGCGAACGCTCTGCCTTCGCGCCACAGGTCGGACGGCCACTTAACGCAGAGGTGCCGAGAAAGGCTTCAGGATTCAGGGTTCGGGATTTAGGTTTAGGGTTTAGGGTTTAGGGTTTAGGGTTTAGGGTTTGGGGTGTAGGGTTTGGGGTGTAGGGTTTAGGGTGTAGGGTTTAGGGTTTAGGGTCTTTGAGAGAAGAGGAGACAGCTAAGAGTTCTCTGTCTTTGTCTTGCAGACCTCCTCAACTACCGGTAGTCTAAACCCTAAACCCTAAACCCTAAACCCTAAACCCTAAACCCTAAACCCTAAACCCTAAACCCTAAACCCTAAACCCTAAACCCTAAACCCTAAACCCCCTAAGCCTCACAGCTTTCCTGCTCTCGAAGCCTCCACACCCGATCCCCGGACGCCGCAACCTCAGCTGCCTAAACTCCGCAACTCCCTTCCACCCAAAGAACTGACAGCCACAAACCCTAAATCCCTCAATAAAACCCTAAAACCCCAAAACCCTAAACCCTAAACCCTAAACCCCAAAACCCTAAACCCTAAACCCTAAACCCTAAAACCAAAACCCTAAACCCTAAAACAGCCCTAGCTGCGTTCGCCTCGGCCCCCCCAAATAAACCCCAAACCCCAAACCCCAAACCCTAAACCCTAAACCCTAAACCTTAAACCCTAAACCCTAAACCCTAAACCCTAAACCCGAAGACTCCCCGGCCAGTCTGTGAAGCCGCGGGAAGCATCCACGGCGCTGCCAGGCGGGGTTTAGGGGTTAGGGGGGTCAGGGTTTAGGGTTTAGGGTTTAGGGTTTAGGGTTTAGGGTTTAGGGTTTAGGGTGTAGGGTTTAGGGTTTAGGGTTTAGGGTTTAGGGTTTAGGGTTTAGGGTTTAGGGCCTTAGGGTTGAGGACTTGTTTTAGGACTCTTGGGTTGAAGGGTTTGGGGTTTTAGGTTTAGGTGTTGGGGGTTGATCCCCTGACTCGCAGGATTTTCAGGTTTTGTGGCCTTTGGGGTTTCGGCTTTCGGGTTTAGGGCTTGCAAGTCTCTAGCTTAGGCGCTGTCCACTCAGGAATGAAACTTAGTCTCTCTCTTTCTTGTCCCTTCACTGGCCACAAGGCCCTACTCCCACGTCCTGAATTCCAAGCCAACCTCCCGAAACCCAAAACTCCTAGACTGTACTACTATTCGCTTAAGAACCCCCTCCCCCCCCCGCCCCCCCCCGCCCCCCCCGCCCCCCCGGAAAAACGAGCAAGTAAAGACTAGCCGTCCCCATATTGGCCTTGTAAGGAAGATCTTGTTGTGTTCTTGGGGTGGTTCCTCAGCAAGTGGTAATGCAAATTGTGCCCGTCCTAAGTCTGGCTGGGGTTATTCGTAGGGAATGAGGGAATGAGGTCCCTATGTAATCCCTTAAACTAGGATGCCCAGTAGTACCCCTACTCTCTTTTTGGGGGGTTTAGGTTCCCTTATAAACCACCCTGTTTAAGCCTAGGTTACTGGGCAGCCTAGTAAAAGGTGTGTGTATATATATATATATATATAGAGGGCCGTCATGCACCCAGAACCAGGGGGAAGTTCATGGCATGGGAGGCTGTGTCGAGACAGAGACTGGCGTGAAGGCTGCGTCTCCTTCGTCGCTGAGGGTTTAGGGTTTAGGGTTTAGGGTTTAAGGTTTAGGGTGTGTTCGATTTGCTGGTACAGCTAGAGCTGTTTACCCGAGTCCCTTCCTGAAGCTTCATGGATGCGTACAAGAAGTAGGGTTATAAGTACCCCATAGAAGGGTTATTACCACAGGTACCCTATTTGCAACCCTACCTCTAAGCACCCATGAACATCCAAGTAGCGGGGGGCAAGCAGACAGCGGTCTTCCAGACCACGCCGTCTCAAAGCCTGAACCAGGGCCCGAAGAGTATCTTCGCTGAATAAGTACACTTTACAGATTTTGGGATACCAGAATCCCCTATCTCTAAACCCTAAACCCTAAACCCCAAACCCTAAACCCTAAACCCTAAACCCTAAAGCCCAAACCCTAAACCCTAAACCCTGAATTGAAAGTGTGCACCTCTTTGGGGCTGATGAACTCAGCAACTAAGGCATGCTACACGACATCCCCATGTCCCAGACCACACTGAACTCACTCACGCCGCTTGAAGATAGAATCGTGGTTTAGGGTTTAGGGTTTAGCTTTCAGGGTTCAGGGTTTAGGGTTTAGGGTTTAGAGTTTAGGGAGGGCGACGTACGGGGGTGCAGTTTCTAAAGTCGCCACCAAGACGCATGACTCCGGATCATGTCCGCAGCACGCCTCTCCCCCAAGCGGGTGGTGTGGCGGTCGAACATTGAGCTGGCGCCAGCGTCCTAAACCCTAAGCCCTAAACCCTAAACCCGAAACCCTATACCCTATACCCAAAACCCCAAGCAGCCTCAAACCTTCAGCCCGCAATCCCTTAGACCTTTGCACCCTTGAGGCCTTAGGCGCTTAAACCGGAGCCCCTAAAACCCGTAAGCCCTTGTCGCACTCTAAGCCCTAAGCCCCAAACCCTAAACCCTAAACCCTAAACCCTAAACCTAAAGCCTAAACCCCAAACGCTAAACCCTAAACCCTAAAGCCTAAACCCTAAACGCTAAACCCTAACCCTAACCCCTAAACCCTAAACCCGTTTATCTGCAGGCTGCCAAGGCTCTGATTCCCCGTTCTTCCTTGTAGGGGGGCCAAGCGCGGGTTTGGGCGTTCAGGTTTTTGGAGTTGTTTTGGGGTTTGAGGGCATTAATGTATACCCCCTTACCCCCCCCCCCCCCCCCCCCCCATCCTAAACCTGAAGACCAAACACCCGAAACCCTAAACCCTAAATCCTAAACACTGTTTTCGGATTTTGGGGGTTTCAGGGTCGCCTGGGTTGGCGGGTGTTGAGGGTTTGGGGCTTCAGCATTCGGGTTTCAGGGCAGCTGTGACGCCCGCCAGTTAGCTCCTACCTTTGTGGTACTTTACTGTAACTTTAGATCCTTAGCCTTTTTGGGTTTATTGGGTTTCTTAATAAAGGCAGCTAAAAATTTAATTTTTAGCTACCCTCTTAAGTGCCAAGCTACAAGTATCATGTGATTTACTAGGACCGGGAGTAGGCCCTTTTTCCTTTTATTCGGGTTGGGGCTTCCCTCACCCTCATAATCCCCTTAAAACCACCAAGGGTACCCTTTTTGTTCGTAGGTTTCTCCCGGGCCTAGTTTAACATTTCTTTCGTCTTTTTCAGGTTGAAAGGAATATGAACATTTTGTGTCGGCTTGAACGTACGCAGGAATCCAGGAACCGGAGCCGAATGTTACCCTAAACCCTAAACCCTAAACCCTAAACCCTAAACCCTAAACCCTAAACCCTAAACCCTAAACCCTAAACCCTAAACCCTAAACCCCTAACCCCCTAAACCCTAAACCCTAAACCCTAAACCCTAAACCCTAAACCCCTTAACGCGAATGTTCGAGACACGAAGAGCCAGCACGCCGTAGCTCCGCCCAAGCGACTTTCTTGTGCAAGTCCGGTTCAGATTTCCAGGGTATCTGGTTTAGGGTTTAGGGTTTAGGGTTCGGTGTTGCAGAAGAGACCTTGCTGCTCCCTTCACGTCGATCGCAGCCATGGCCCGTCCCCAGGCCAACGACAAGGCCTAGGGATCCCGGGTCATCCTAAATTTGACACCCCATTTGGTGCCATTTGGGGTGCCTTTAACTTCAAATGGTCTCGGTAGCCCCGCGGTACCATTTGCCTTTTTTTTCTGCCTTTAAGGCAACCAGCCCGAAAAAGGTGCTCTCATTGTCTTATGGCTACTGGGCTACCCAGCTGGTAAGAGTTTTGCCACAAGGGGTTCCAAATTCGCAGCATAGAGGAAGGGGCTTGGGGTTTGGGTTTTAGGGTTTGGCTCGGGAATTCTGGATCCTTGGCGTGGATTCTTTGAGAATCCTGCCGAATCTTGATTTGAGGTTGCTTGGTACCCTTTTTGAATGTTCGAGCACTTTTTCTAAAAGCAGGGTCCCCCAGAAAGGCCTCCAACTAAGAACAAGCACCCCCACCCCCCTTCCCCGCCGTCTGCTGCAGATGCACTTGATTTAGTTTCGGAGTAAGCTGCGTTCTCAAAGCTACCCCTAAGCCCCACATCCTGGTCCCAACTCCTCAATCCCAAAAGCCTGATGACGAGGATGCCTAGAAGGCTAGCACGACATAGGTGGCTTATTTAAATAGAACGGTATGTTAGGCAGTTTGTATTATCGCGTAAGGGAGGTTACATAGTCACTTGACAGCTTACCTTCTTCAGAGGGTTCTGAAGTATGTGCCTTTGGACAGAAGTGGTATATAAGGATAGTCAGGGACCATGTCACTACCCCAAGAGAATGGTCACCCCTAGCCCTAAGCCCAAACCAGCAAATAGACCCGAGACCGCCCCAGAAGTCCCAAATATAAGGCCGAAACTACCCTAAACCCTCTTAACCCCCCCCAACCCCCCTACAACCTGGAACCCCTTCGAGCCTAAACCCCTGGAAGCCCACAGACCTGAAGCCCCCTCAAAGCCCTAAACCTCATATTGCTTGGTGGTCTCTTTAAGTAGCTTTTCTGTTTTGTAGGGGGTTCTTGTTAGGGCATCTAGGGGCTCCATGAAGGTGTATGGGAAGCAGATAAAGAGCCCACCGGCCTTTATCACCTAAACCCCTTAAGGCCCTCAACCCCACTCAAAACCCCAACCCCTTCAAGCCGAAGCCCAGCCCTACACCCTGCATCCCAAGAAGCCCCTGAGTCCTAAACCCTAAACCCTAAACCCTAAACCCTAAACCCTAAACCCTAAACCCTAAACCCTAAACCCTAAACCCTAAACCCTAAACCCTAAACCCTAAACCCCAAACCCTAAACCCCTAAACCCTACAGGCTCTATCACCCTAAGCCCTACGTCGAAACGCCGCAGGGCCTCCGTTCCGAGGGTATCCTTCCAGCCGTCGGGGTGGGCGCCGCCGTGCCGCGCGGCGAGGGGTTCATCTGTGGGGGGTTTAGGGTTTAGGGTTTAGGGTTTAGGGTTCAGGGTTTAAGGTTAGGGTTTGGGGTTTAGGGTTTAGGGTTTGGGGTTTAAGGTTTAGGGTTAGGGTTGAGGGTTTAGGGTTTAGGGTTCAGAGGGCGCCCCGAACCCATCGTGCGGAGAATGTCCCCTAAATCCCTAAATTACTTAAATCTCGATTTCGGGAGTGTCTTTCACGTGTGCAAGGGGGCTGCAAAACTACCAGAGACTGCAAACTCGGGGAGTTGGGGGGCGGTGCCAGCAAAGAACAGTTTCAACGAGCAAGTTATGGCAAGAGAAGCTGTCATAGTGTTATATTTTTGTTTTTTTAAAAAAAATATATATATATATGCTTTTGACTGCTTCCTTTGTTGGTGGGGGTGGCCCCAATGGCCACAGAAATTCCAGAATTTATGAAATTCCTCAAATTCCTCAAATTCCTCGAATTCCTCAAATTCCTCAAATTCCTCAAATTCCTCAAGCTTCGGGAATTTGAGGAATTTGAGGAATTTCGTGTATGGAGACTATCGGCAGGGACACTGTATTGGGCATTGTCCACTTTTTTGGGCTCGCGTGAAGAGCTCCCTGGCGTGTTGTAAAGGAAGAAGCAGAGTTCCGTTTCGTAAAGTTTTGATGGGTGTAGGATTTAAACTATTTGCGTGCCAACAGAAACATATTTGGGTGCGGCTCCAAAGTCTAGGTATGTAACTGGCTCCCGGGCGTCTTTCGGCGACATAGGGTTTGTAGCAAAGCCGCTCTGCTTGCGACAAGCAGCGTTCGCGACAAACCTCCGCGACAAGCCTCCGCGACAAGCCTTTGCGACAAGCCCCTTCTTGGAACTGCAACCCTCGACTACGCCGGCATTTAGACAGTGCGCGAAACAGCCGCGACAAACCCCGCGACATACGTATGAAACAAGTGGGCGCGACATACGTATGTAACACAGGCGGGGGTCGGGACACCGCGACATACCCCTATTTAGAGCCACGGCAATATCTCCGAAAGCCTTCAACGTAAGACAATCTATTTTTGATTGACACTCTCATGACGATCAGCTTCATGGCTCTACTGAACCAGGAGAACGATGGTTTGAGAAATGACAAAAAATTGCTTGTTGGTCTTGACGGTCCTGCTTTCGGATTTCGATGAGCTCCAAAAGTTGGACTTCCACTAGTTGAATGGGTTCTGAATCTTCTTGGCCCCAAAACTGCGTCATAAACTCGTTGTTGCCATATTTCCGCTGAGAACCTACTCGCAATGAAGGTACCATAAACCCTAAACCCTAAACCCTAAACCCTAAGCCCTAAACCCTAAACCCTATATTCCTAAGCCCTCATTCCCGCAACTCTTAGGGCACTCAAAGACCTAAAGCCCAAATCCCAAAACCCCTAAACCCCTAAGCTTACTAAAGCCCCAAGGCCTTAAACAACCCTAAGCCCCAAAAACCCAAAAACCCAAAACCCTGAAACCCTAAACCCCTAAAACCCTAAATGCCAAAACCCCAAAACCCAAAATCCCAAAAGCCCTAAACCCTAAACCCTAAACCCTAAACCCTAAACGCTAAACCCTAAACCCTAAACCCTAAACCCTTAAGGTACTTGACCCTCACCACGGTCTCCCTGGGGACTCTTGGTCTGGTGGGTATCGGCGCTGGCGTCGGCTACGGCGTCGGGAGCCGCTGGGTTTAAGTTTGAGGATTACGGGGTTCAGGGTTCCGGTTTTAGGGTTGAGGGTTTACAGGCTTTTGGGGTTCGGGGTTTAGGGTTTTAGGGTTTAGGGTTTTCGGGTGTTTAGGGTTTAGGGGTTTCGGGTTTATGGTTTAGGGCTTTAGGTCTTAGGTCGGGGATATTTTGGGGGCTCAGGGTTCGGGAGTGTTTTTTCTTTTTCGGGTTTGCTGTGATTGGCCTGATTGGGGCTTAGGGGGTTTAGGGTTATGCCTTGAGCTTGTTGCGTTTCAGGGCTTAGGGGCTCGGGGTTTCTTTAATCCTTTTTGGGTTTATGGTTTAGAGTCTAGGGTTTTGCGTTTAGGGCTCAGGGTTTGGGGTTTATTCCCAGTACCCTAAACCGTATCTCTGTGCCCGACACCTTAAAGACTTGTTCTTGTTTGGTGGGTTTCTTGGGGGTTCGGGGGTTTAAGGAAGGGCCTTGGGGTCTTAAACCCTAAACCCTAAACCCTAAACCCGAAACCCGAAACCCTAAACCCTAAACCCTAAACCCTAAACCCTAAACCCTAAACCCTAAACCCTAAACCCTAAACCCTAAACCCTAAACCTAGACCCTAAACCCTAAACCTAGTTTCGGTTGAACTTCAGGCTGAGTTTCAGGATGCGCGTGGTTGCTGCCAGGGATCGGGGCTTGGAGCCTGGCCTCTTGCCTAACGACTTCTTGGGGAACGGGTGTCCGATTCCCAAAACCCTAAGCCCCGAACCCGAAACCCTAAACCCTAAACCCTAAACCCTACAGTAAACCCTAACCCTAAACCCTAAACCCTAACCCCTAAACCCTAAACCCTAAACCCTAAACCCTAAAGCCTGAACCCTGAACCCTGAAAACCCTGAAAACCCTGAAAACCCTGAACCCTGAACCTAAACGCTAAATCCTAAGCTAGCATTGCCATCTTCTAAAGGGTGGGCCCATGTTTCCCTGTTTTAAGGTGATAGGTCCCTCCTTAAA